ACGCTGGCTGCTGGCTACACACGGTAGCCCATGGCAACCCACTGCCACAGGGGCTGCAGCCTACGCCGTCACCGGTGACTCACGGCAGCCCAGCTCCAGGTTGAGCTGTTGTTTAGCATCTTAGCTGTGGAGGGCTGAGTCACTGGCCCTCATATGTGGGAACCGAACCGGGGCCCTCTGGCGTCCCAAGCCAGCTCTTAACCATCGCGCCACTCGGCTGGCCCGGCAACTACCCATTCTTGATCACAGCAGAAGATGAAATTTATTCTCTAGCAAGAATAAAATAGAGGGATATAAAACATAGTTGAGAATGAGGATACCATATTAAAAAAAAGGGGGATTAAGAACCTAGGCTACCAAATTTTTATAATTTTCAGTCAGTAGTTTAGAAGATTAGTCTCTGGGAATTATAAACAGCCTAAGAGAAGATCTGAAGATAACTGATACTAAGAATTTCCCCCAAAGAAATATTCCAAAGTGATATTTCTGCAGTTAAGTTCACAGTGAGCAAACCCTATCACATAGATCTTCAGTGATCTTTATGAGCCTGTGGCCAGAGATCACTAGACAATTTAGGAAACCCTTTTGTGTGAGAATTCAAGACAATAACAAATGAGAAAAATACCAAGTTAGAGGAAATGGAGACCAGTTTGGCAGGTGAAAAATTGAAACAAACGCAAAACTATCACTTAATAGTTTCAGAAAGGTAATAGGAGATTATAAATCCATGAAACATGAAAGAGAGACAACAAAAAATTAAGAGGTATAAAACCCAATGGAAGAGCTGAAAAATAATATTGATATATTGAATGTAAAGCAAAGAGAAAATGGGAGGGAAGAATAAAAAAAAATGGAGCTACTGTCCAGGACCTTTAATGTTCAAAGAATAGGAGTTTCAGAAAGAGAGAATATAGTAAATAAAAGGGAGAAATAGAGAATAGAGAATGATAGAACAAAACTCTCCAGAATTAGAGGACACAAGTTTCTAGGTACAAAGAGCCTATAGAGTGATCAATACAGATAGGAAAATTAGTCATAACTGTATATATTGTAGGGCATATCACTGTTAAATTTTAAAACACGGGAAAACTCCTAGAATAAGAGAAATAGTAAGTCATATATAAAGGCTCAGTTATCAGAATGGCTTTGGACTTCTTAATACCACATTGGAAAGTAGAAGATAGTGAACCTTCATAATTGTGAGGGAAAAATGATTTCAAACTCAGTATTCAGTATCCAGCTATACAATTGCTGAAGGATAGACTAATGACAATTTAGGACTTGTGATGCCTCAAAAAATTTTACCTGCATGTCTCCTTTCTTGGGCAGTCATTGTAGAAGGTACTCAACAAAAGTAAAAGAGGAAACTAATAAAAAAGATGAAACCGTACCAGAAACAGGGAATGAAACTTAAATAGAGACTGAGGAAAATCACCAGGATGATAGTGAAGAGCGATCCCAAGATTACAGCTGATCACTAGTTACAGAGAGCATCCAGTTCCAATAGAAATAGGTCGGAGGGTGCCAAGAGAAATGGCTGCGAGAAGATTAAATTGGTAGAATGTGTAATGTTTGGAAAATATTAAGAATAGATTTAGGGAAGAGTTTGGGGCTAAACTGGTGATAAGTATATAGAAAACTAGGTAAATAATAAAACAAGACATTTTTTAACTCTACAAAAAACTACTCAGAAGGAGAAAGTAATTGTAGTATACTATGTGGCTCAGCTGTGATTTGCATTTACAGAGTCATAATCATGTTAACTGAATATAACCGCCTAGCTAAAATTATGATATTGGGAATTTGGGCAAGTGTGCATGTGTATGAGGTAAGGATGGGGAGAGCTAAATTCTTATTTTTCTTGTGGAATTCAATAGATGATGCCTAAAAAAAATACAGCACAATTGAGAGCAAAAGCAAACACTTTTAATATTTACATTGGACAACAGAGATAAATTGATGAAAGTGGGAAATGGGAATCAGAGGATTTCTGATTTTTTAGTGTCTTGTAAAACTGTTCAAATGCTTTAAACTATGAACATGTATACATTGGTGAAAGTAAACACCACATTTTAAAATAAAGAGAATGGAATTAAAGATGTTGAAACAGCAATAATATACAACTCTGACAACCAGTTTTCTTGTGAAACGGAAGGCAGCACCTTGGTGGGTCAAGGGAGTTTTTTTTTTTAAGTTTGTTTTCTTAAGATAAAATACTAAGATGTTGATCAGAATAATCCAATCATAGAGGAGGAAATAGTGGTGTAGGAATGGAAAGCCTTGAGAGGTGACAGCAGATGAATTTCATAGGACAAGTAGTATGGTGTCATTAGATACCGCAGTTTATATATAATACAGAATAAGTTATTTTATACATAAAGGCTCTTTTCCAAAGATGGACTGCCAAGCCCTGAGATTTTGTTACTTATATGTAATATTGCATACTGAATTAAAAACATACCTGCTTCTGTATTTGGTCAAGTTTGCATTGTTTATAAAGTTTCTCAGTTACTAGTATGTCCCCATTTGTTATACTTTTAAAGCTTGTTTTTAAACTGTTTAAAAGACTTTAGTTGCCCTTGCCCTCCATTGTTATAAAATAGTAATATGGTGCTTACTCAGCTGGGAAATCATATCACTGAATGACTTTGAGCTCAAATTGCGTATGCAAAGGAGCATTTGTGTCCTAGCTGTAACTTGATCTTGTATAATTTAATTTGTGAACTTTGAATTCTAATGGCTGTAATTCATCCTTTCAAGACATATTATTGTATACCATATTGGCCTATTAATGTCAGTATTTAAGAGATAGACTTAATAAAATTTAATCTATATTAGAGTATATACTTGAAATTCCTTGAAGGACATCACATGTCTTCTAAAACTGAATTAGAATCTATAGTATGTGCAAGTGTGACTGGCTAGTATTTTTGTACTGAAAATGTGCTTCTTAAGGTATTCCCCACACAGAACCTTTGATTGTTTCCCCATTACCACTTTGCTTTGTTAAAATTAATTTTACACCGTTTAAAAAAGTCAAGAGGAATCTTCCAACAATTGCTCTAGTTATTTTACTTCTTTCCTTACCTTTTCCTTAAATATAACATGTCTATCAATTGGCTGGAATTGTAAAGATCTTGGACTAGGCTGTTAAAGATATAGTCATATGTTGTTCAGTTAGCTGGACAACAAATAATGTTTGGAAGAATATTGTTACCGATAGTAAAATAGCCTAATAAAGCATCAGTCTGTATCTTCTGAATCATTTTGTATTCACTCTTATAGTCTGTATGGCCCTTGCTATAGTCCAAGACCTAATTGTTGGGGTCCTTTTTTATTTTCTAGTTTGCTCTATTTTTCCTTTTGATAATTAAAAAGCATATATTCGGTGCCGTTTAAGGCTCTTAACTGGCCTTTTAACTTTAAACTCAAACTGTTCTTTTTTAATTCACCCATATTGGCTCTGGTACCTTTGCACTGTTCTTTCTGTTCTAGTGACAGAGCTGACCTCTATTATTACCATGATAACTGTCTTTTGTGCCAAGGGGCTGTACTTAGGTGATCTTTAACTCCAAAATCCTGTAATTCTGAGTTCCATCTGCTGATGTTGATCCAGACACTTAAAATCAGTATTTTATCCTGACTCCCTACTTTTACCTCTGACTCCCCACTTCTTTTAAGAACTCTTAGCCTTTTACGTTTTCCCTCTGCAGCCATAAAACCACGTAGACAACGGATCATCATTTATCTAGAGTTACCCCCTTTCCTCTCATGCATCTACATTTGATAACGATAGAATATTTTAGAATTTCATGTTCTTAGAACACCTTTAATCTTCTCTGGTTTAATTAAAGTTACACAGTAATTTACAGTGTTTTCTAAATATTAAATAAAAATGTAGTTAAAGTAGAATTTTTTGTGCCTCAGTACTGTTAGGATATTTATTAGAATTAAGGTGGTTCTTCAATATTCAACTCATGATTATAGGGCAAAGTATCTTGTATGGATAAAACTTTTCTTACATTTTAGAAAAAAACGATATAGATGTAGAGAGACAAATTTTAGGCTTATGATTCGGTTTTAAAGTAGTAAAATTTAATTCCTTTAATTTGGGTATACGACTTTTTATAATAAGACTTTTTTCTCTACTTGACTTGCCTTCACCCCTCTACCAGTCCTATTCTCATTTTATGCTCTAGTGATTAAAAGTTTAAGTTGTAATATACCTAGATGTTTCTCAAAAAAAAAAATACTAAACCTCTTAAGTTTCTCAAATATAGTGCTGCCTCATCTCACAAAGGCCTGTGCCTTTGCCAATTGCTATTCCTGTGGCTTAGAATCATTTTCATCTGTTAACCTCTTCTGTCTTCTAGTCTGTTACTTCTTAAACTTTAAATGGTCATAGAAATCACATGGGGTGGGAGACCTTGTTAAGGTGTATATTCTGATTCAGAAGGACTGGGTTGGGGCCAAGATTCTGTCTTTTAACAAGCTCACAGATGTTGTTGGTGCTGATAGTCTCTGGACCATATTTTCAGTAACAACAGTTGAGACTACCTGGTAAACTCATTGTTATCAATAATATTTCCTCTGGTTGCCCCTTATATTATCATCATTATGCCTTTTATAGTTATTTAAGTATGTGTCCCCCTATTCAATTCCAAATTTTTGCCTATAGGGATTGTCTTTTATCCTTATATTCCCAAGTTTAACATATTACTTAACAGAAAATAGGCTTGCAACAAATGTTTATTGCTGATTAGATGGTGTTATTACAGCCTATTTATAGTTGCATAGTCTAATATACTGAATGTTAAGCATAACTTTTAAATTATTATAGTAGAAAGAAAATGAATTATGAACCTCTGGTTTTTTTCCTGTAGCCCTTTTTTAGAAAGAAGAAAAATCTCAGATATGCCCCAGCCAAAACTATTTGCTTGAAAATAATGTTCTGACCTTTAGTACAAACAAAAATATTTTGAAGTCTCTATAACAACATATAGTGTTTCTCAAGATTACTATGTTTGTAGAGTAAGTTTTTTAGAAAACTAATGACCGTTTATTTTTCTTTCCATTCAAGGAGAAGTACAAATGTCTACCACAAGACGAAAACGTAATATGTTATGTTGTTTACCGTAAGCTGTAGTAAAATGAGCTCGATTGTTGACAGGTATGTTTTTAGAGACTCTTATTTTGAAATACATAAAGCTCTTTTAAAATTCACTATTAATGGTCTGTATCAAATTGATAAAAGTAGTTTTATGTTTAAACATAAAATTACTATTACATGTAATTTCAGTATTGAGCAAACATAGTGTAAATAAAGTATGTTAATATTGTCTAGAGCCAAAGTTAAGAGCGTATGGCTTGTGTTCTAAGTGGGCCTTTAAACTGTAATTTTGAGTGATTTGGTAAGAGCTGCTCTGAAAGAAATTGTGACAATTGCAGATGTTTCCTCGGTACCTTCTGGAATCTTTTATCTCCTTATCTCTTGTTTTTTTTCCCCCCTTATTTATGGATACTAACTCCATCCCATTAAGCATTTTAGCATTTGTGACTGTTAAGAGGTAACTATAATTAGGATTTAATTAGTTGAAATTATAATCTTTAAATCTTACTCGTGGGAAAAGGATAAATCTCCTTGTTTCTTTGATTTTAAGACTCTTTTTTTGCATTTTAAGATCTCTGACAATGGGATTCATCTTACAGTTAGTTGGTTTATCATAGTTTAATTGGTAGCATTTTTTTTCTTTCAGAGTGGCACATAAAATACTGATAAGTCTTATAGTCAGTAGTATCTGAAATTTGGTGAAATAGAATAACATTTTTTTTTATGCACCTACTGTTTGACAGCTAGCTAATGTGCAGAGTACTTTTTGTATGTATGTTATTTTATTTAACCTCACAATTATTCTGTGAGATTTTACAGGTATGGGAGGTACTGTACTTTTACAGGTACTGTACTAGGTCAGAGAGGTTAAATAATGTGTTTAAGGTCACATAGTAAGTGATAAGCTGGAATTATGACCTGTGTTGGTCTGCCTGTCACACCAAGGTTCGTGTGCTTGTATTATAGTGTACTGTGTGATTCTTTCATAGGGGATTCTTTAAGAGTTTTTAGCTAGAGTTCGGCACAGAAATGACTTTTGACATCTGGGGGCAGCCCATCTCCCATTCCAGAGATAAACAGTGAAATTATATACTACACCAGTACTTAAGCTCTAAGGGGCAAGGAGTTTCCTTAGGCCTGCCTGTACCAGTGCCATAGATTTGGGCTATGCCATAGTTTCAGGTGGAACCTATGTGTAGTCTTCTTCTCAGAAAGGATGTTTCTTCACTGCTCCTGAGAGAGTAAATATGATTTGGGCATTATACTTCTGAGTGATTGCCAATTCCTATTTTAAACAATATGACACCTAGAATGACATCTTTGTGTTTGGACTTAAAGCAGTGGTTCTTTTTTTTTTAATCAAATTTATTAGAGTGACATTGGTTAGTAAAATCATATAGGTTTCAAGTCTACAATTCTGTAATACATCATCTATTATATATTGCATTGTGTGTTCACCACCCAGAGTGAGTTCATTATCTCTCTGAGTATGATGAAAGTTATGAACTTTCTCCTCAATAAAATGCATATACATACCAAACTTTTCACAAATTTCAGTGCATACATGGACCTCCCAAAAGTCCATACATGGACCTCTATGATGCAAAATTTATAGATGATGTTAGTAGTGGGTCCAGCAGGCACTTTATAGGCCACAAAAAAGGTGTAAATAGGACTGAATAGTGAATTTATGTAAAAGCTTGTAAATCACCTGAGACTATTAACTATTGCTCCTTAGGTTACACACCAGTGCTCTTGATTTCATTTAATAGAATGCTCTTTCCCCACGTCTTCCCATAACTAACCTTTTCTTGTTACTTAGATCTCAGCTCAAATGTCCCCACCTCAACAAGTCCTTCCCTAACCACTCAGGGTAAAGTAACCCACCCTGTAACCAAAACATCACCCCCCATTTAAAAAACAAACATACTGTCATATTTTTGTGTTGATTTGTTTCTACTAGAAAATAAGATATAGGAGAGTGGTCTATATGTCTGCTTAACTGCTCGTAACCACGTCCAGAACAAAGCCTGGCATATAAATGCTAATAAATATTTACTAAATGAATCAATAATGAATGAAAATGTATTAATATAAGTTAATATGCTAGGTACTGTGATGTTTATGAGTGGTTTATGGTTTTATGAAGTGAATGTCTCAAATACATTTTTAAACTATGCTATTATAATTAAAAATAGTTTCGCTGAATCATTTCATATAATGGCAAATAGACCGACTTTCTGTAGGTTTCCACTGGTTTAATGTGTTGTGTACACATAGTACAGCTAAAGTAAGTAGTTTTAAAATTCACATTTGTAATAAATTTAAAAATGGAACAAAAATGACAACTTTAATTTTCTAACATTTATTAGAAACAGGTTAGTGTTATTGAGTTTGAATTTAAGCAGTCCATTAACCACAGAAATTCGAGTATATAACTGTTTTATTCACATATCATTTTAGTATTGCTGTTGCTTATTAAGTTTGATCTTATTTTCTCTATCCACTTTCTGTTTTCTTCTAGAGATGATGGTAGTATTTTTGATGGGTTGGTGGAAGAAGATGACAAGGACAAAGCAAAAAGGTAGTTCAACTTAAGATGTAAAATAGTAAATAGATGACTAATAAGTAATTGTAATAGTAAATAAAGAGTAAATCATTGATTTCCAAACGCTATCTGCCTTAAGAACTTAGATATAATAGCTAGGGGGAAGAGCTTAGAATATCATTATACAGTTAATAAATTAAATAAAATTATCCTTTAAACATGCCCATCTCATCAAATTATATTATGGGTGCATAGTATCTATATGACATCACCAAGGATGCTAACCTACACTTAGGGTTTGCCTGGATTCACCATTGTGGTTACTGTTGTAGTTACTATTTTTCCATTGTGGTTATTGTTTTTCCCTTAACCTATCCTATTCTTTGGAAGTGAGTTGTAAGTGTAGCCCACCTTCAAAGCAAGGATCCAGGGAATTAAGCTCCACCTCTACACATACTTGGAATTCTTCTGTTAAAAAATGGTCTCTTTCCTATTTATTTATATCTGTATGGACTCATATATATTTATTTTGTACTTTATGTTATGCTTCAGTGTGATTTGTGGCTCAGATTGTTCCAACTTTAGCTATTGGGAGGTCTTTCAGAGTTGTTGCCTGTGTTCTTTCACATGCCTTCATTCACCTATACAAAGGAAAGTAGATAATAAGGAGAGGGAGGGGAGAATTGTTGGAGAGGGATTATCAAGTAGGTGAGGGAATGGGAGTTAGAACCATGGTGGTGAGGGTGGGGGCTTCGACCTTAAATAGGAACTTTGAAAGTTAATTATAGTATCAAGAAGGAGGGTTCAGGTAGCACTATAGCCATGTGTGTAGTCATTCAGAGTGGGCAGTAAACACTTTGGGGGCTTGTCTCTCCCCAGTATCCTGAGCCCTTGTTAGCATAGTCTTTGCCATTATAGCAAGCATTCACTGTTTAATGAGGCAATCAGTTAATATCTTTTTTCTTAAAAGATTTGTGCAATTGTATTTTTTCCCAGTACTATTACGGAGTAGATGCTTGTTCTTTACAGAAAAACAAACCAAAAATTAAATAAAATTATCCTCTGACCTTTTGGGAAAGTAGTCTAGTTTGCTTAAACAAAAACTGAATTCTAAAATTCGACTTCATAAAGCAGATAATTAGAGGTATTAAAGAATTGTTAATTGCTCTATAAATAATTGTACTGTAATTACTTGTCTCAAGAGGTCTCAGTGCAATTAAGTATTTACTGGTTACTGCTTCACATAGAATAATAGTAATTATTCATTTAGCACATATGTTTTGAAGGGTTACTGTATGTTAAGTGTTATGCCTAAGTACTTAGATGAAAAAATTTGGGCTCTGTTATCAAGGAGATCACTGCCTAATGGAGAGACAGATATGCAAACAAATGATTACAGCTCTGTGTTGGAGGTTGGAATATAGGAATAAAGAGGAAGAATGTGTGGGTAAGCCTGAGGGTAGGAAAATTCTCATTTTTAGATTTCTGTTTATAATTTAAAACTTACAAGAGATGGATAACTTTCTCCTATTCAATAATTTTTAGTAATTTGTATTTACACATTATATATACTTTCACAAAATGTATCTCGGTAATATAATATAGCCTTAGGATGAAATTAGAAATTCTTGGTAAATAGTAGGTTAAATGAAACCTGAGATTTGAATGCAGTTTGTCTTTTTGGCATTTTCATAAAAACATGTATGCCAGATGCCTAATATGTAAAAGTTTCTATAACAATAAATTGAAAAGAAAAATTATTGCCCAAATTAACTGTATAATGTTGGCAAACTAGGAGATAAATGTATATTACCATCTACATTGATAGAAGTACATCTATATGGTTGTGTGCAAATCGAGCATTATATTAAACTATTTGTGTAATTAAATGGATTGTTTGAAAACTACTTATTTAATTTTTTATTTCTTTAGAGTATCTAGAAACAAATCTGAAAAGAAACGTAGAGATCAATTTAATGTTCTCATTAAGGAGCTGGGATCCATGCTTCCTGGTAATGCTAGAAAGATGGACAAATCTACCGTTCTACAGAAGAGCATTGATTTTTTACGAAAACATAAAGGTAAATTTTTAACTTTGTGAAATGGATATACATATATATTTTATGACAGACTCTCCCTTAAAGCATAATGATAGAATCTTGTCAGTGATGGTTAAGGTTAGATACTTCCTAACCTTTTTTAAGAGAAAGAAATCAGTTGCTTTTTAAAAGACTTCCTGGTGTGTTCTTTCTTTCATTCAACAAACATTTATTTAGTGCCTACTATATTCAAGATTCTCATGGTGCAGGGTAACAGTCCTGGACCTCGAGTAACTCAGGCCAAGGGAGACAGACATGTAAGCAGCTAATCAGATTGCAAATAATAAGAGGTAGAGTGCTTGTAAACTTTAAACTTGCTGTGAAAACACAGGAAAGAATGTAGGGAAGGCTTAATAATAGTTGATTTTTCACCTGAGCCCGCTTTTTAGATTAAGTAAGGAAAACAGCATTTCACACGGAGGGAAATAGTATGTGCAAAAGCAGAGAAACGGAAAATTCAGTTTAACGAGAGCATCGTTTGAGTTGGAAAGTTTCAGGCATATTTGAGAGAAAGGAAAGAGACAGATTGTGAGGGCCTTGTATGTCATTTTAAAAGATTGTTTCAGCATATACCTAGGAAATAAACAGTATGTTTAAAATAAAGGGATCATTTATTTATCGAAGAAAATCACTTTGCCTAAATAAGTCATGAAAAGAAAATTTAAAGGATATTAAGTATTTTGGTAATTGACAATAGATGAAAAACTTGTAAAAGGACGTGTCCTTTTTCAGTTGCAAGTGAAACTGCAAAACTAGGCATTAATGCATTACTAGCCTGATTTATGCTCCACCACTCTTTGAAATTATTTTTGTCCATTTCACTAATGCCATTACCCCCATCTTCTCTGCTGCCAATAAAGCAATAGCTTTTCTTACACCTCATCCTCTTCCATGTGTCTGAAGAACTGGAAATTTTAATCCATCCTCCACTGACTTGCTTTTCCCTTGCCCTGTGTTATACTGCCCTTTTTCATTGCTCCCTTCCTAACTGAAACTAACTCCGTTTTCTTTTTCTGCCTTCTATATGTGACAGCTCTCAAGGTCTTATCTTTTGCATTTTTGCTTTCTCTACGCATTTTTCCTTGGTTATCTCACTCCATAGCTTCAACTATTGTCTCTGTTAAACTACTAACTCTGTATTTTTAGATGCAAACTCTTCATCTTTTATTTCCAGATAGCTTATGGATCTTTTTTATGTCCTCAAACTCAGCGCATCCAAAACTGAATTTATTTTCCTTTTGTCCAGTCACCACTTTCTCTCAACTTTCCTTTTTTTATTTTTACACCATCACCCTTTCAGTCCCTTAGAGCTCAAACCTGAGAAGACTTGGATTTTTTTCATTTTCCTTAGTACTATATATCACAGTTGCCAATCTCTCTTGATCCTTTTGTAAATGTGTCAAAATTAATTGTCTTCATTTTTATTGCCACCGTTGTCATTACATTTTACCTCTACAAATAGTATTCTCACTATCTCAGTATCCTGTATTAGTTAACGCACTCAGATCCTCAGACATTATGAGTTCAATAAATGATTGTTGAATGAAATGAAATAGTATGCATGCATTTCTCCTTGATAAAAGAGGATTAATTTTAGCATTAAGTAGATCAGGTTTATTTTTCTTTCAAAATTGGGTATGTAATTCTCACAAAAAATAAAATTTACCTGAAATGAAAAGGAAATTCTTATATAATAATTACTCTAAAATAAGTCTGTGCTTAACTAAACTTGATGGGATTTTCTTGTGGAAATTTTACTTTCTGAATTTGTATCATTGAGGTAAATTTGAAAAGTGTGACTACATTCCACAGAGTTGTTAGTAGCTATTTAGTTCCTGTTCATATTCTAGTATAGGCATTTTTAATTGGCAAATTTGGGTAACAATACATTATATTTATATATCTGGTAGTAGAAAAATCAAAACAACTTAGTCTATAGTTTTCACTACAAAGTAGCGTATATTTTGTGGAGTAAAATTTATGACATCGATTTTTATTTTGCTTGCAGTTAAATATGGAAAAAACATTTGTCACCTAATGGTTCATGTTTCATCATTTATGAATAGCTTTCTCATAACTAAATCTATCAGCAAGTAGTACATTGCAAAATAAACTTATAATAATTTGTTAAAATGTGTGTCCCAACCCCCAAATTTTTGACCAGGCCCCTGCCAGTAAGAAAACATGTAACAGGACACTAAGCAAAATCATTCTGGGGTTATTACTATAAAGTTTTTGCCCCAAATCTTAATTCAATCTCCTTGATTAATTAAGAATAGAGCAACTCAGACTGGGAGGAATCTTTCTGCCTGCCAGTAGGCAGGCCTAAAGTCCTCTTTGTTAAAAGCAGACTTCATGACCTCCGTGGCTTATGTCCTTATGTCTGCTCTAGATTCTACCACTTGAATGGCAAGGAAAGGGAGAAGAAAAAGAATATTTTCCTAATGCTTAATCTAATCTGATTGTTCTGATTCTTGTTTAGTCATTGTGTCAAGCAGGAAGCAAATCTTAGGCTTGCAGGAACATAGGCTATCACAAATCCCCAGAGAAAAACCCAGGAGACTAGATTTCCAAGAGACCAAATCCAAGGAGATAACTTGCCACGTTAACTCAGATATTTCATCATACCAAAACCTGGATTTATTGATACCTACCTAGACCAGGGGTCGGCAAACTTTTGAGACAGAAGAGCCAATTCTGTCCCTCGAAGTTTTGCGAGACCTATAAAACAAGTGAAATCACCATTATGTGAATAATGTCCTTTAAAAATTTTATAAATGAAACTATGATAGTTTTATTTTCATTTTCAATTTTACTTCAGAGCCCCATGTACACATCCAAAGAGCCGCATGTGGCTCGCGAGTCAGTTTCCCGACCCCTGACCTAGACCAACACATGTAACTCCTATGGTTCTCATCTTTAGTTAAAGTGGGAAGAGAGAAGGCAACTTGTAGGACTTTTGTACTGCCCTAGTCGCCCACCCCACAGTTAAAGTATGCCACTAATGTGTCAAATAATCTGTTTACAGAAATCACTGCACAGTCAGATGCTAGTGAAATTCGACAGGACTGGAAACCTACATTCCTTAGTAATGAAGAGTTTACACAATTAATGTTAGAGGTATGTCCAGATTTAATTTTTGAAAAGTTTTGTTTTCCTCAAAAAATAAATCATAGGGGTGACTAATTTTAGTATAGTTTTAACAGTATTTAATGTTGAAAAGTTTTAAGTCAACATAAATCAGTAAACTATTATCTTCAGTTAAAATTAATCAATGTAAGTATTGTAAGCAAACAGTACTATGTGGTAAATGAATGCCAAATATTTATATTTTCAGTATTACCTGAACTGTTGAAAGGCTTAATAAAAGTCAGAAAACTATAGCTATCAAGTTCTCTACCTGAGACCACACTAGCAACATTCAAATGAATAATATGTATTATTCATCACATATTAAATATTTTTATGAAATATATCCTACTGGACAGTAGGATTTCTTAACAAATTAAAATCTACCTATAAACAACATAAAATGGTATTAAATGAAGTACTTTGAAAATATAAAACAAATGAAATATACATTGAAAGACAACTCTTCTTAATTCAAGTGGAAACTTAAAAGGAAATAACTAAATATTCTTTTGTGACAAATTTAATTTTGAAAACAATTCAGAGCATATTTGCTTGTAATTTCAAAACTTCATACATCATACAATAATGATAAAATTGACAAAAATCTTGAGTCGCTCATACCTATCACACAAAGTACACAGAGTTCAGTATCAGAATAACATGAAAACTTAAATAGCAAACAAGTGGTATACTTTGGCAGTAATAATTAAGGACAAGAAAAATATATACATAGCAGAAAGTAGACATAGAGTAAAGCAATTGATGTGGGGATGAAGATGTTGTTAAATAATTTACTCCTCTTATCCTGTTTGGCTCTATTCTTTTAGACTTGAAGCATTTATCTGTGTCATGTATGTCTATGTAATGGCCATGTCTCCAAGTGTCTTTGTATATTAACTAAAGTCTGAAGTAACAAAGTATTTTGCAAATGAATGAGTTATTTTTTTCCATTTATACTTTGGATGAAATAGTTAATTGCTAGATTAATGAAGTCTTTATTCAGCAGAAATTTTGCCATATGAAATGTTACTATATGAAAGTGTGTTGGAATATAAATATTTTGTATATATTTAAACCTGTACTTAAAATCTGAAAAATAACATTTTTCACTTATTAACTCAGTAAATCCTCAATAATCTTATGACATAGACAATATAAGTATCCCTTTTTTACATCCACATGAAGAAATCAAGGAAAAAAGGGATTATGAAAAAAACGCAGTTAGCAAATAGCTCAGCTGGGATTCACTGCAGGTAGACTAGCCTCTGATCCATGGCCTCAGCCCCTTTGCATACTCCTGCCACCCAGAAAACTTCTTTTCAGTGAAAGCTAGCCATAGCATAGAACTAGCTTAGTAACCAGCAGTTAACACTTTAAATTAGTGGACACTTAAGTTATAAATCAATAGTTTCTGATTTTGTTAAATGTTTCTTTTTAGAGAGTAGTTTGACATTGTCCAAAATTATCTCTTTAGATGCTTGAAATATGTTTATGAAAGGGTGCACACAGCTAATGTCTACAACAGAGAAAGGAAATAACTAATTACCTTAATTTTAATTTTATGATTATATCCTCAGTGTAATTTTTTTTTTTTAAAGATTTTTATTGGTGAATTGGGGGGATGGGGACAGACAAGTTGCTGTTGTTTTGTTCTTCAGTCTAGTTGTGGAGGACGTTGCTTCACTGGCCCAAGTTGGCACCATCATTGCGCCTTTCCTGGGCAAGGCAGATCAGTCGCCGGCTTCTGGATGGCTGCTCACTGCGGCTGCTGGCCGCTCACGCTAGCTGCTGGCCACACACGGTAGCCCATGGCAACCCACTGCCACAGGGGCTGCAGCCTACGCGGTCGCCGGCGACTCATGGCAGCCCACCCAGCTCCAGGTTGAGCTGTTGTTCAGCATCTTAGCTGTGGAGGGCAGTGTCACTGGCCCTCATATGTGGGATCCGAACCAGGGTCCTCTGGCATCCCAGGCCAGTTCTTAACCATCGCGCCACTCGGCCGGCCCGAATGTAATTGTTTAATAAGATATATGTTAATCATTAACTACTTACCCTGCTTTATTGGTGTAAAAAAATTTCTTATGAATTTATAAATTGGTACAGTATCTACACTCATGTATTAATAAACTTAATGAAGGTAAATTACCTATTTACTTATAAGCTAAACAGAAAAACATTGTCTTCAGGTTTTTCTTCATAAGGGGCAGATCTTTATTAATCGCCAAGACACATGTAGTACATACATAGATAAATAATTTTTAAAAATCAAAGATTCTAGAGATTATTACATTATTTATAATATACAACAGAGAAAAGTTTAATATATTTAAAATATTTTAAGTTTAAATTAGTTGTCTCATGATTATCCTCACAGCTTTTAGGATTACATTCCTGAAAAAAATGTTACTTTTACTTATTTTTAATATGTCAAGTATATTTTTTATTTTTAGTATTTATAACTATTAAGTAAAGATTGAAAACTATATATAAAAGTGTGTATATATTACAACCTGGGTCCAACTAACTTAGTTAGTTACTGTTGACTAGTAGTGTTGATCAGATTACACATAGAAAGTCCAAATACCATTTTCAGCAGAATTTCAGATGTAGGCTATATCTTGGAATGTTTGAGCTGCTGGTAGGAGAGATTACATTGTTCACCTCAGCCTCTTCATTTTATGGATGAGGCCTGGAGAAGTTGCAACTTGACCAAGTCAGATGACTAATGAATGGAAGAACTGGGACTGAGATCTTAAAATTCACTTGTAACTTTTGGTTGGCTGTCTCTCCATTCCTCCATTGCCATCCATACCTTCCTCTCTTGTCTCTGTTGCCTGAAGAATATTCCTTGCTACCCTTGGGGAGGTAGAGTAGTCAAGGAAATCGGGGCAGTTTAGCCTGACCATCAGATCTCTATGCAAAGTCATCTTTATGTGAAGTCATCTCTAGCATATAGTTTTTTCCCTTGGCAGCTGGCAGCACTCTCCAGTAATCTACAGGGGATGGGCTAGTACCCTGTCAGCCTCATCTTAGATATAGATCCACAAGGAAGTTCTTCCCCCTTCCATTCTTGTCTTCCCCAGATTAAACACTCACTAACAGTGAAGGTTTACACAGTCCTTTTATCGTCGGTCAAGTAGATATCAACTAGGAAGTCCAGGAGTTTTAACTAATGAACCTTTCCTCTGTATCATGCAGTGTGGAAAAGGGATGTGTCTTCAGTCCTGAGATGAGGATGTCTTCTGTATTGCTCGCTCTTCCACATCTCTCTCTTCCTCCTCAGGGCCCTTCTCAAGGCCCCTTTAGTTTTTTGGTTACCCACTTACCTACTTGGGAAGTTACATCCGTCCACTCGGAACAAGTCTGGGCCCTGGGTCCTTCTTTGTGTTAAGACTGGTGAAATGCTGGTGGAGGCTTTTCTCTGCTGAATTTTTGCCTGCTTTGAAATAGGAAAGAGCAGGCTCTGCTCCTAGGAGTGAGTAAGTCATTAAGAGCTCTTGATTTCAGTTCATTCTCTTCACGGAAGAGAGCTGCTGTACTCCAATTCCTAGCAAATGCCTTAAGAAGCAAATGTAGTTCATCACAGTAAATATAATATTAATATTCTTTCAAAGATGACACAGTCTAGCTTCACATGAGAAAAGCTAGTTCTTAACATCACCTTGACCCTATTCTTTATGAAATAATAACACTGGCATTACTGTACTAAGGAGTTTTTGTAAAAATAATTTCATGAACTTGCTTAAATTAGGTTTTCACGCGTTATTTCTGTATTAGCCAAGAATGGATTTGTCTAAGCCATTGTGGAATATAAGCATCTACTCAAAATAAGTTCTTTCTCATATTCAAATCTCTCTCCAGTATACTTCAACCATTACTTAGAAGTAGAGGGAGGTTGCTCTAATTCCCAGGTCTGTAAATTATATACAAGTATTTTTTTTATCTGCTGTATGCTATACTTATAGTAGGTACTGCAGATACAGTGTTGAAGAAGATACATACTAGAGATTGCTATCCTTTGAGAGAGCCCTACAATTAAATCCAAATTTAGTGTGAAAACTATTCTAATAGGAGACGAGGAACTCCTCTTGGTATATTTTTCCTATACATCTTCAACATCTTTTCCACTGGATCTTCTTTTCCCTCAGCCTGCAAATATAGTTCAGTTAATTTTTTTAATGCCTTTCCTTGATACGTGGTCCCCTTAAAACTTTGATTTCTCCTTTCTTTCATTCTAAAGTTTTTGGAAGAGTGATTTATAATCTCCTTCTGATCATGCACTCATCTCTAAACTCACTGGTGTCTAACTAACCTTCCTATTGACATAACTCTTTTGAAAATCACCAAATTCATGTCTTAATTTCTCATTTCTTGTGCTATTTGATCTCATTTTACATGGAACCGTCCCTCTTCCTCTTCACTCACCTTGTTCTCTCTTCTGTTGACGTCCTCATTGACAGTGTATTCTATCTTCTCTGTCATTGTCTCTGTTACTTTTCCTTCTCTTCATCCCTACGTGTATGTAGATAATTCCCCCAAGGATTTTGCCTGGCATGCAGATCTTTTGCAAATCTCATTTCTTCAGCTGTCACTTCTGTGCCTAAGATTGTCAAATGAAAATAACTTTGTAATGTATAAAGTACAGGATTGCTTTATTATTAAGTATTGTATCCCCTGTGCTGGCTTCTCTTTTAAACTCTCACATTTCTCAATGCTTGTCTTGAGTTCTTTCTTCTCAATGCTTATTGCTGCTAGTTTCATTCAGATTCTCATTAACTTCCCTGACTATTCCAAAAGCCACTGAGGTTTTCCTAACTTAATTGTCTTTTTCCTCTAAATCCATATTACATGCTGCTTCCAGACTATGCTTGAACAAAGTCCTTCTGTCTTTATCTGGTATTCAAGATTCCATGATCTGACCTTGGCCTATGTTTTCAGCTTTATTTCCCTTTCACTATTTCCCATGTATCTCCCTACACTTCAGTCATACACCTCTCTGTTAATATATCCAAAAGGTGATAATGTGTTCTTTTGTGTGCCAGACATATCACTGATGATGTGCATTCTTTGGAAACAGTAGCATCTTCAAATAAGGCCATCTTCATCTAATACACATAGGATAAAAGTAGAACATTAAGTCTATTTTTTAGAAACCAGCTGTTCAATAGATGGCCATAGAGGGATTTTTTTCCAGAAGCATTTAAAAATGCACAAAGATATATACTATAGTATTGTAAAGGGGAAAAGCTAGCATTTTGACAGTACTCTGGAAATTTCCACGTTAAGTGCTTTGTCATTTGGTAAGTTAGATTTTTATTTCTGTCTTGTGAAATACGTTTTTCTTTTCATTTAACTGACCACTATGTTTAATTTCAGGCTCTTGATGGGTTTTTTTTAGCAATCATGACTGATGGAAGTATAATATATGTGTCTGAGAGTGTAACTTCATTACTTGAACATTTACCAGTAAGTATAAAAATCCTGTGATCTCTTTCTTTTTTAAAGCCTATGTTAAACGTTCTAAAACACTGGGAAGTGTGCGTCCAGAGCAGTGGTGAACAGTGAGTAGAGTTGGGGAGAAGAGCTCTAAATATGCCTATGTTTTAGCATGGCAGTGCTTTCTCAGGTCAGTCCTGACTTTCTCACCTGTAGTAATTGAATATTCAACGACCACTGTATCCAACCTCTGTTCTTCCTGCCCTCTTTTTTCTAATACGAAATTTTCAGTGTTCCCTTTTTAATCAGCCTAGTGAAGATGATGGTAAATCACTGAGAATGTCTTGAGAATAAATTTCTACTACATACTTGTTGCAGCTAGAGTAACTCATAAATCATTTTCTCAAAAGAATGACATATAAGGACACACTAAAAATAATAGATACAGAACTTTTGTGCTCTGTGGCTTGAATTGATAATGTTATAATGGCCATATTCAATTTGTTATGTGACAGAAAGGGTACAGAATTAGAAAATAATTATATTGTATCATTTTTATTAGGATGGTGAATACCTGAATTACATGTTTGTTGTTTTACTTAACATGTATTTATTGAAAATTTATTCTGTACCAGACATTATGCTTGGTGCCCTGCTACAGTTTACAATTTTTATTAATTTGAAATTTTTATAATATTTAATATAGGATGTTCTTTCTAAGACAAGGCTTGTGGTATAAATATTCTAAAGTTACTTATAAATTACTCTTAAAAGACCTGTTCTCTTGAAAATTTATAACAATACAAAGTAATGTTTTGTAAAGATCTCTTTCAAGAGATATTGAAAAGCAGTATCTTCCTCCCTCTGATTTCTCTGCCACTTCATACTTTCTATAGACAATGGACTGTATACTTAAAAGGCCACATTCTAAAAAGGTAATTTCTTACTGAAAGCCAGGCAGTAAGTAATTTGGCGATTTCTTTGGCTCACACAGAAAATGACTTGGCTTTACTGCTTTTCTAGAGGCTTTCCTTAACACTAAGCTCAAATAGTAGGTGATTAGTCGGACATCTAGAAATTGTTTGAGAGTAAACAATGAGATTATAACAACATGTAAGTAAACTAGTGTGGACAGAGAAAAGGATAGACCGATTAACTGAATTTTCTGGCCAACTCTTTTTTTTAAAAAATATTTACATATTGAAAAAAACTAGGGAAAGAAACCCATTATATGATTAAGATACAATTAAGATAAGATTAACTAATTTAAATACCGTATTTGCCGGCGTATAAGACGACTCGGCGTATAAGACGACCCCCTAACATTTCCACTCAAAATACAGAGTTTGTTATATGGTCGGCTGTGAGCGATTTTGCGAGTGTGGTAAAATCGCATAACAGCCGAGCATACACCCAGCAGCGCTGCTGATGCCTGAACGGTATGTGGAATGAAGTGGGCGGGCATCGGGAGGCCACTATGGCACGGGGCAAGCACTATGGGCAGTCTATCTGAAGTGTACCTGGCGTATAAGACGACCCCCCACTTGGAGGCATATTTTTCAGCGCCAAAAAATCGTCTTATACGCTGGCAAATACGGTAAATGCAGAGCATCATTTGCAATGTGGTCACACTTTTTGAAAGCCTGCTTCTTGGGTACTTTCCTTGAACTCCATTCAAAAGAACTTCCTCTCTGTTCTCATGTTATCTTATATGTATTGCCATCATGACACTTATAGTGAATTGTAATTTTTCTGTTTACTTGGATGATTGTAGTAGGTATAAACGTCTTAGGTGCAGGGACTTTTTCTCTGTATCCACATGGTTTAGCTAGTTTCTCAGAGACATTCAGTAATTATGTATTGAATGCATTAAAATGAGTAGTCTATTTGATGTGGCTGTTTTTAAAATTCTTCCTACTGGCATACTGTTGTTGGATATTTAGTGCAGTAAAGTTTAATTGCTTTTTGAAATAGACAACATGTGACAGGTGTAGTTGGGATCCAAGCATTTGATCATTAACATTCCCCCCCCCAATGAAAAGCCTCTTTGCCTTCCCATTCCTCCTGTATTTTTTTAAAACTGATTTTAGAACTGTTTTTAGATTTATAGAAAAATTGAGACGATTGTACTGAGTTCCCATATGCTGCATACCCGGTTTCCTCTGTTACTAACATCTTCTGGGTCTTTTTTATTGTTTGTGTGTCAGCCAAAGCATGTAGACTGGCAGGCAGGTGAATTTTTGGGCAGAGGAGATTCTGCTGATCCAATAGACCCATTTCATTCCTTACTGAGTTAATAGTATCCTTTATTAATACAATGTTTTGCTGCTTACCAGATACTACAGACACTTCTTCGTATCACTGACATTGCTGAATTGTATGTTATCTGACGGTTTGAGAATGTAAACGCAAGCATTTTCTGAGAAAATGAAATAATACTTAAACACATAAGGAAAAAATGTGTGATTATCTGTTTTGGGTTGCCATTATAATTAAGCTGTAACAGATACTAAACAAAAGGTTTAAAACAGTGGTGTCCCTTTCTTTGTGTTTTAATATATATACACCAATTTTGTCTAAAATAGAATTTTGGTTGTTGCTCAGAAGGCAAGAAACATTTACAAATCCCTAAGATAGACTTTAGTGTTTGTAATTCAGTTCTGTTGAGAAATTAAAACTTGCCATCTTAATCAGTGGTCAATATGACTTAAAAATTTTAAATCTGACTGTAAAACTACAAAACTGATTCTACAGGTCCTGCAAAAACAAAATATTATCTTAACTTTGTCACTTCATACTTATGAAATCAATTTAAAGCACATTTTAGCCTATTTATGTCTAATAATTGGGCATAAATGCTTTATTGATTTTGAGATTGCAAAGGAAACAATGGAATTTTTTTTTTTCCTCCTGGTCTGGCCTTCTGTGACAAAGTTATATATAGGTTCATGCCACCTCAGTGCCAAAGACTTCCTTAGCCCAGCTTCTTCATGTTATCAGCAAGAAACATGAAACCCAGAGAAATTAGACTTAATTGTGTAACACTTTTGTGGAACTGCCAAAACACAAAGTCGGTCTCTTACTCTATTGCAAACTTCAACATTTGTAAAATTTTACAACTTAATACATTGTGGACCGGTGACACAGATTTGCGTCTATACATTTAAATGCCCTGTCCTCGGTGTGTTAAGATTGATTTCCTCACATGTGCTCAGATGTGTTCCTCAGAGAGACTAGTATATTGAATTTGTAACCAAGTCATATAGGGGAAGATGATTAACCACATTACAGTGTAACAGAGTCCAAGACTGAAAGTGCCACTATTAAGATACTAGATGAGCCTTTTCTTCTCTAATCACCTTAATGTGAAAGTTTGGAAATAGAAACAAAAATGTGTTTAAAGAAAGTCAGTACAGTCTTTGTTTGCTATAAATGCAGTATGCAGAAATATGATTTAGAATTTTTTTGAATAGTTACATGATTATGAAAGCTTATTTGATAGGGCCATACTTTGTGTTCCTTATGCCTGTACATGAGGAACACAGTTATTTAAAAATATGTGTTGAATATGTTATATTCAACATATATTTGACATTTTTCTGTGGAACAAGTACTGTCTACAGCAGTTATTTGTTTAACTGTTGGTTATCTACCTGGGGCAAAAGATAATTGGTAACAGTTAATAATTTTCACAAATGGTCCCATTGACTTAATGTAGAAAAATAGAAAAGCTATTGATTTATGTCATATAACTAAGTCAGCAGGATTTATATTTCTTCTTCATGAAAATGATTGAGGGAGATGAAAGGGTCCATAGCTGCTATTTTCTTTTCTTTTGAATTGTGTGGAGGAACTGAGTGGATGGTATGGCAATATCAAGTATGATTAGCTTAATTTAGAGATTTTAAATTTAGTAGTTAATGGCAAGTTTGACACATTAGTTAATTAGTTGCCTGCTAACTCTGATATTTCAGATTACAGTGTCAGGGAAAGAAGAATGGTGGGGAAGCAATGCTGGTGATCAAGCCACTCTATAATAGCCATTCATATTTTTTTCTCTATGACTATGAAACACTATAAATTTATAGCTAGAAAAGAAAGGGTGACATAGGTCAAATTATAATTTACTGAAATTGTAGAAGAAATTATCAGTAAGAATAAATAATAATAGAAAATTAGAATCATTTCCAGAATGAAAGTTTTAGTTCTTCAAATTGGTGTCTTATTTCTCTAAGACTATTTTTGCATTAATACCAATGCCTATGTTTTGTTACTTTATTTTGTCAGTAAAAGGCAGTTTTCTAGCATTTTTGTTACTCATGCCTGAATTTTCAGTGCATTAGTTCTGTTCTGGAGGCTTCTCAGACTTTCAGAAAAATTCCTTGTTAAAATACAGATATATTTTTAATGTAGTTACCTCTTATCAAATAACTCCATAATCCAAAATCATTTACTATTCTAATAACTGTTATATATGCAAGGCACAGTGTTACTGTGTCTTGATTTGAAGGGTGGGAGATAAAGATATGAGATAGGGCACTTCTATTTACTTATGGACAGTAGTACATAGACATTAAAATATGATTAACAAATATTTTTATGGGAAATGAATGAGTAATAAGTACTAAAAGAATTTTATTATTTTTACTGTGGATTATGTTAAGAGAATAGTTTTTTGAAAGAAATAATATGAACTGGTCTTTGAAAGATGGAGGATACAGATATGTGGAGAAAAAGGGGACAGATATTCCACTTCATGGGTGGACTTTGAGGACTAGAGAAAAGACAAGAATGTGAATGTGTGGCTTGTTCCTAGAGTATAGTAAAATGCCCTTTTCCACCTCCCACCTCCCAAGTGGCTCTCTTGTTGTTGTTGTTTGATTGTTTTTTGTTTTATTTTAGTTTTTAAGACATGGAGCTCTTTTTTCAAATAAAACCTTTACAGAGTTTAAAATAGGAACAAAACCAAAGTGGAGCTGCTTTTGTGAATACAGCAGCAAAGACCCTTAACCATGCCTTCACAGCTCCTTTTCGTCTCCCTTATCCCCCACTCTCACTTCCACAGTCTTTGAGATACCACTTCAGTATCCCCAGAATTCCACAGGGAAGTTTAAAAATTTAGAGAAACCAAGAAGAATAGACTGGATTTTGTAGAAAATGTGAAGCTACTGAAGTTTTCTTGTCAGCGGCTCTTAAGGATAGGAATTATCTTATTCATCTTTGATAACACAGCTGTGGTACATTGTAGGCAACCTGATGTTTGTTAAGTTACTGTTGATTAATGAACCTTAATTGAAGCCATATTTGAGCAAGGATTATAATGTGTGGCATATTACTTGCCCCTTCTTTTAGGGGCTGGGGTTAAGTAACAGCAAGGCTTTTTGACAATGGGATACAGGATAGATGGCTGGAAAAGATGAAATAAAGAAAGGACAGGACACATTGGACAATTGAAAGGACACCAAAGTCAAACCTCTTCTTCACGTGAGGCTAATCATTTGGTCCTTTTGTTGTAGTGTATATCACCATAAGTTATCAGAGGTTTGAATATATGGTAGGGCTACATCTTGTAGCCACAGATTTTTCTAATCAGCTTTGTTAGTCCTATTATATATATATATATTTTTTGAGTTAATTGTTCTTTTTTTTTTTTTTTAAAGATTTTTATTGGGGAATTGGGGGGATGGGAACAACGCTGGGGAATTGGGGGAAGGGGAACAG